TGTTTTAAACCGCAGGTCCGTGTCATCTACAGTACAGATACTTAATAAATAACCTGCTATAAATGAAAAGCATTAGCGTTTGCTGTGTGTTTTGTTTTTACAAGCTTTTGAGACATAACATAAATTCTGCTTTTAAATAATAGGTCACCTATAGCTTTCATCATGAGGCTGTGTTCAAAATGACATCAATGTTTTCAAAGTGCACTGCGAAGGGAGCAGTAAGCATGAAGATCGCTAAAACTGAACTGTAAAAATACTTTGAAAGCAGATGACACCTAAGAGAGATGACCTTAATGCTTCTTTAATCATTCAGAGTTTAAATGTTAGACTGTTCTAAATGAATAGGGCATAGGGGGGATAAGTGGGAACAGAACACAGCCAGGAACTCTGTTTCTAACTACAGCTTCAGAGGTTTGCGAATGTTCGTTGGAACGATGGATTTGGAAAATGCCAAATCATCAAACTATGTTTGTAACGATGGAACAAATTAATTAGCGTATGCTATTTTTTTTTATTTTCACAAGCTTTGGAGATGTAACATAAACTCCAATTTTAGATAATAGGTCACCTACAGCTTTCGTCATAAGGCTGTGTTCAAAATGACATCAATGTATTCAAAGTGCACTGCGAAGAGAGCACAATAGTAAACATGAAGATCGTCTGGATAAAAATAATAATAATAATTTTTCCCCTTTGAACACAATTTATTCTATTTTTTGAAAGATATTTTGGAGCAGTAAACATGTCAGGCTGAATAATTATTAAATAATTAATAAATAATTAATAATTATTGACTTCTGCTGTCTTCGTTTGTTTAAAAACACTGACTTCTTTGCAATTTAAAACAGCATCTTTGGATATTTTGTTTCCGCTGGAGATACTGTTGTCCTAAAAAACAGAAAAAAATGTCAATAAAAATCTTACTCATACCTTAGAGAAGGTATTACAGAAAATTTTAGCGGTGTTAACGTCTCATGCCTAGTGGTGTTCATATGTCAGTTCATCAAGTGCTGAGGACGAGCTGAATTTCAGATATGGTCATGTGTTTAGTTTCCAAAACTAACTGTAAATCGCCAATCAGACCGGGCCATCTGACCAATCAGAGCAGAGTATGCTCTAGGAAAGGCGGGGAATGGAAAACAGAACAGAACTAAAGCTTCAATAGATATTATGAGAAAATAAAAGCATAAAATTGTATTTACAAGGCCACCTGTGATGCAAAAATCACTTTTATGAGGGTTTAAACCCAGTTGTGTGTCAGCAGTGTGTGAATATAACCAGAGGCTAATCCAGGGGTCGGCAACCCAAAATGTTGAAAGAGCCATACTGGACCAAAACAAAACAAAAACAAATATGTCTGGAGCCGCAAAAAATTAAAAGCCTTATATAAGCCTTATAATGAAGTCAACACATGCTGTATGTATTTATATTAGCTATATTAGCCTACTATAAAAATGATTTAGTTGGCTACAAATACATAATGAGCCTTCATGGTTAAATGTTCATTTCCCTGCAGTGCATCCTGTAGAGAATGACGCGCCACGTGACTACTCTGTTGTACGATGCCATCTCAAGTTTAACTTAATTACAATATTAATGCATTATGTTTAATGTTCGAGTTTAACTTCATTACAATATTAATGAATTATGTTTAATGTTCAAGTTTAACTGCATTACAATATTAATGCATCATGTTTTGCTTTGATGAAATTAAAAAAATGCAGTAAAGAAATCAGATTTTTGATGTTTTTTATTTTGAGGATTCGAAAAAGCAACATCAAAATGAACGTGCATAACGTGCCCCTTACTGGGAATGTGCTCAACAAGGAAGGGTCAATCTCCAGGGGTGTGTGACAAGGAAAGACAGTGTCGTTTTTTCCTTTCGCAACTCGCAAAATCTGCTCCCAAATGCAGTTTGCATATCAACGATCGCACCTTGTAAATAATCACCGTTGAGTGAGTGATCGGGATGGGCTTCTTTGAATTCTCTCAGGGAGGGAAAATGAGAGAGTGTGCCCCGCTGTACATCTTTGGCAAAGACAGCTTACGAACCATGGCACATCACACAGCCGCCGGATTGTTTACAACAGTACCTGCCTATTCCGTATGTCGCAGGCTATGACGCAAATCTTCGTTGACAGAAATGTTGAAAATAAATATTCTACACACTTTTACAGCATTGGAAAACGTTAAGATTGTTTGTCCTCCTATAGAAACCATATTAAAACAAAAATATATTTACCTCCCCCATCGTTTTCCATTTTCAAACATTTTTTGAAAAAGCTCCAGGGAGCCACTAGGGCAGCGCTAAAGAGCCGCATGCGGCTCTAGAGCCGCGGGTTGCCGACCCCTGGGCTAATCTATTAACTGTATTGTTTATAATAAGACTTGATAAGAACAGTCTGGCTGAAAGGGCATCCGCTGCATAAAAACTTGCTGGATAAGTTAGTGGTTCATTCCGCTGTGGCGAGCCCAGATTAATAAAGGGACTAAGCCGACAAGAAAATTAATGAATGAAGAGCAGTCTGCAGAAACACTTTGATTGACATTCTGCCTTTTGTACGTGTCATCAGAGGGGGAAAGCCCCGCCCACTAGTGACCATCTTTCCCTCATTAGCATAAGATGTCAGACTTGTTTTTGAATCTGCCACTATGCTGGCACACAGGCATTTGTAGCTCCGCCCTCTTCTGAAAAGAGCCCACTCGTTTGCATTTAAAGAGACAGTCACCAAAACGCCACAATTAGGATCAAAGCCTAAAAGGGTCAGTTTCAGAGAGCAAGAAAACATGATCTGTGTGCTATTTTGAGCTGAAACTTCACACACACACACACTCTAGAGACATTACATCTTGTGAAAAAGAGCATAACAGGTTCCCTTTAAAGATTGGTTCCATTTGCCTCATGATGGACAGGTTGGAGTGAAAGTGAAACACACTCACGGCATTGCCCCCGGTCTCCTGGTTGGCCTTCTGTCGCCGCAGGTCAGACTTTATGAACGCTGTGAGGAAGACAGACATCAACTCAGTCTGATAATGGAAAAGTTAAGTGCAACATTCTCTGACACAATTCTTACAGTTCACTGACATTTATACATTTGTCAGACGCGCTCATCCAGTGTGACTCTCTCTGCCTTCACTGCGCACACTATGAGCCTCATCCAGGAAACACCAGCAAAACAAACTGCTGCGTTCACCATTGGCAAAACCATTCTGACGTGCAGGTGAAGTCAGAATTATTCGCCCTCCCTTTTTTCAAATATTTCCCAAATGATGTTGAGCAGAGGATTTTTTCACAGTATTTCCGATAATATTTTTTTAGTCAGGGTAATTAGGCAAGTCATTGTATAACAGAGGTTAGTTCTGGAGACAATCCAACACTAATATTACTGAAGGGGCGAATAATATTGACCTTAAAATGGGTTTAACCAGTTAAACTCTGCTGTTATTGTGCTTGTTTCGTGATTTTGCCTACCCACATTTAAAAGCTTTCCAAATCCACATGCAGAGGTGTAAACGCAAAAATTTTGGTATCATTTTAAAGAAAACCCTTTGAATTTTCATAAAACACTATTGAAAGTGTTTAAAATAACTGTATATGTCGTCTGTGTTATAATAAACACCTAAAAAAAGAGGTGCTTTTTGTATTTTACTTTCATAAACTCAAATTCGAAAGTGCACCTTTTAGGTTGTGTGTGGTCTAGCGTGCTGTAATTCATGTTGGTGGTTCCTGCACATGTCTGTAATCATAGGAAGAAAGACAAACATCTCCACCATAATCTATGCAAAAGTTATTGTACTCTAACTGATGAGAGGTGCTGTACAAGCCACAGGGAGCGATCATTGTTTTCATATTTCACTATTCTTTTGTTTGATCAAACATAATTCACTGTGTTTGGAGCACGTCAGACATATAAAAAGATTACTTATGCACATCACCTCAAAAACAGAGGAGATTGGCCCTGAAGCGCACAGCATAAGGTAAGAGATGACAGCTGTCTGTGCTATCTGGGGCTGCTTATTGATCATGAATGTATTGTTTTCACTTCTGCACCATGGAAACACCGCGATTCATTCAACAACTGTTTGATATGTGAATATAATTCAGTAAAAAGAATGCTAGAGCCGTATGAGCACCGGCAAGAGCTTTCATTTGAGCTATAACTTGCACATGTGTCATATGAAAAATATGAAAATGAACCAATGTTTAATACCCAGCTCGGATATCCAAAATACTGTGTATTTAAGTGTAAATAACTTTTGTACAGTAGAATAAAAACCAAAGTGATGCATATGAGCATAAAATATAGATTCTACACTTTCAAACGAAACCTCTTGAGGGGGTCTGGTGCAACGCTAGCCCTTTAAATCTTAAAGCGAAAGTGGATGACGTCTTGCACCCGGTTTAAACAATTAAAAACTGCTTTTACTCTAGCCGAAATAAAGAAATCAGACTTTCTCCAGAAGAACAAATATTATAGAAAATAAAGTAAAAAATTCCTGAATCTGTTCAACATCATTTGGAAAATATTGAAAAAACAAAATTCACAGGAGGACGAATAATTCTGACTTCAATTCAGTACAATTTAATTTGTTTGTCATTTACAGTTGAATTGAACTGATGTGTTTGTACCTGTCATGATGGAGCCGATGAGCAGGAACACACAGAGGAAGATGTTTCCGGCTAGTGTGCCGAAGTGATCAATGATTTTGCCTTGAATGATGGTGAATGCGATTCCAAACACCTGCACACATCAGAAACATCATCAGCATGTGTGTATCGCATAGAGCAGGGGTTCCCAAACCTTTCAGCCCACCACCCCCAAAATAACAATTCCAGTGACTTGCCACCCCCAAAATCCTCTTTCAAGAGTTCACACTTAGCTGATGATTGATTATAAAGCTTGTTCGGTATGCTGTCCCGATAGAGAGCCTTGAGCTAATAAGATCCTCGAGCCCGGGGCTCCCTCCCGTTTGCAAGGGAGTTTGAGCTTAGGTAGATCTGGAGAACTCTCCTGCTGTAGTAGCTAAAGAACAGATAGTGATCGCTCTTAAGAGATAACCACTTACTAAGTCTATATTGCTGATTTGGGTTAGTCAATTAACTTAAGTTGCATGCTTTAGGATGATGGGAAACCCGGGGGAAACCCACACGAGCACAGGGAGAGTGTGTAAACTCCACACAGAAACGTCAGCTGGCTTGGTAATGACCAGAATCGAAGACTATCTTGCTGTGAGGCAATAGTGCTAACCACTGGGCCACCGTGCCACCATCTAAAGAAGGTGGAGTAGGGGTGGAAGGGGGGATTGTTCAAAACGAAGATCACTGTGGTATGAAACCCAGGGCATTTATAGTGGCTTAGGAGTCGTCTGATTGGTGAATGATGAATTGGATCATATGGGGCCAGCAAGCAATCATCAGCACTGAAACTGTATTCATATCGCAATGTCTATGGCAGAAGAATTCAAAGAGTTTTCCAATATCGTGCAGCCCTAAAAGTGAGTGATGAAATGATGTTCAACCGATTGACCTGCGCAGAGCAGTTGAGCAGTCCTGATGAAGTTCCCTCAGACTCGGGATAGGTGAGCTCCACGGCGAACTCGAAGCCCAGCGGCAGATAACCCGTCATGAAGAACCTGAGGAGAGACCAAACTCCAGAATCACAACAGCACTGCTTTGATCAGTCATCATAATCATTAGATACATACATACAGGGGTTGAGAAATGTATCTGCACAACTTAGATTAGGGGTCACCAACCCTGTTCCTGGAGAGCTACCTTCCTGCACATTTCAGTCGCAACCCTGACCAAACACACCTGTTTGTAATTATCAAGTGCTGCTTTAGGTACTATTAATTGGTTCAGGTGTGTTTGATCAGGGTTGGGACTGAAATGTGCAGGAAGGTAGCTCTTCAGGAACAGGGTTGGTGACCCCTGCCATAGACAATTGCTTTCAGATGACCCCAAAGATAAAAGTCTAAGCGGGTCAGATCGAGAGACCCTGGGGGCCATTCAACTGGCCCACGACGACCAGGAAACTGTTCATCTAGGAATGCTCGGACCTGACACCCATAATGTGGTGGTGCACCATCTTGCTGGAAAAGCTCAGGGAACGTGCCAGCTTCAGTGCATAAAGAGTGAAACACATCATATTGTAGCGTGTTCAAATATCCAGTGGCCTTGAGGTTTCCACTGATGAAGAATGGCCCCGCTATCTTTGTTGTCTATGGTGTGAAGATACGAGATGTGCAGCACCTGAAACTACTGATAATGGAAGCCTGTGCTGGCATTTCTCCTGCGGTGTTGCTATCAGTGTGTGAAGAGTGGGAGAAGAGGCTTGCGTTGACAATCCAACACAATGGGCAGCACATTGAACACATTTTATAAGTGGTCAGAAATTTGTAAATAACTCATGAAAGAATAAAGTTATGTTAAAACCGAGCACACCATTGTTTCTCTTGTGAAATTCCCAATGAGTTTGATGTGTCACATGACCCTCTTCCTATTGAAAAAAACTGAAGTTGGATCCAAGATGGCCGACTTCAAAATGGCCACCATTGTCACCACCCATCTTGAAAAGTTTGCCCCCTCACATATACTAATGTGCCACAAACAGGACGTAAATATCACCAAGCATTCCCATTTTATTAAGGTGTATCCACATAAATGCCCCACCCTGTATTAAACCACAGGTCTTCTCACGGTTTGTGTCTCATTTCGTGAGCCGACTGACAACAGTTGTTCGCTCCCTCTCCTTCTCCCCTGCTCTGCTGGCCACGCCCACTCCTCCCTCTGCTCGCAGAGCTCCACGCCCATCATGATGCATTTTTTTTTTTTATTCTGAGGTAGACTTAACCTGAAAGAGGGGGGTTTCATGGCCCTTTAAGAAAGTTCATGTCTTACCCCAGCACCCCTGACGTGAGGAACACGAGCCACAAATGACCCAAGTTCAGAGTGAAGGAGTAGATCAGCATCCCCACGAATGACAGAAGATACACTGAGAGCGTTGTCTGCCTGAGAAGACAATGAGAAAGACAACAGTAATTATTCATTCATTTATTTTCCTGTCGGCTTAGTCCCTTTATTAATCTGGGGTCGCCACAGTGGAATGAACCGCCAACTTATCCACCACATATTTTACGCAGCGGATGCCCTTCCAGCCGCAGCCCATCTCTGGGAAACATCCATACACTCATTCACACTCATACACTTCGGACAATTTAGCCTACCCAATTCACCTGTACCACATGTGTTTGGACTGTGGGGGAAACCGGAGTACCCGGAGGAAACCCATGCGAACACAGGGAGAACATGCAAACTCCACACAGAAGCACCAACTGACCCAGCCGAGGCTCGAACCAGCAACCTTCTTGCTGTGAGGCGACAGCACTACCTACTGCACCACAATTATTTTTTATTATTACTATTATTATTATTATTACTAAGCTCTCACAGCCAAGAATCAATACATAATTCTGCTGACTAAAGCCCAGTCAGATTTTCCTACCTGCCATTACAATTCCATAATAATAATTCCTTACATTTGAAGAGCACTTTTCTGTGTACTCAAGGTGCTTTACAGATGTTAGGAGAATCTCCTCATCTGTCATTGTTTTGGTATCCTTACTGTATGTGGACTCCTTATTAACACAAAGGGCTCTATTTTGAGGGTCCATGCGCAGAGCGCAAAATGCAGGGCGCAAACGCTTTCAGGGTGTGTCAGAACCCATTTTTGCTAATTTACGGACAGGAAAATCCGCTTTGCGCCGTGGCACATGGTCTAAAAGGGTTGAGTTTATTTTCTTAATGAGTTATAGGTGTGTTTTGAGAATAAACCAATCAGAGTCTCATCTCCCATTCCCTTTAAGAGCTAGCTGCGTCACGCCAAGAGCGCATTCACTATTTACAGGACGCAAAGTAAGTCTAAGTGGAAAAACTGAGCATTTCACAAGCAAACAGTTCACAGAAAACAGTTAAACAGAGCATCTACTGCGTGAGAATGAGAGATAATGGATCTACTTTCACTTTCGCTCCTGGATAGGGAAACCTTTACGCACAGACATCAATTAGTCTATAAATAATTAATTTTGTTTGTTAAGCGCAAATATTCGTTTCAAAACTATTTCTAAATTCAGTTCTAATTTCCAGCAAACGAATAAATGAACAATAATAACAAAATGTGCTCAAAAACCTGAGTTATATCCTAAAACACATGCTGTGCCCCATATGGTCTAAAACCTGACAGGTGGGCAAATCTAAGCTTGTTTTTAATAAAACAAATATAAATATGGATATAATAAATAATACTGCTAATAATAATAACATTATACAAAAGCAAATTGTTATGAATGAACTGAAAAAGCCTCCCGAGATGAAGAAGACATAAAAGCAGTGATTTTTCATATTTATGTAGGCTAGAAAATAATATGTTTTGTAATATTTTAATCCTTTATATTTATATTCTATATCTATTCTTATTATATCCTATATATATCCTTAATATTTACATGTTTTCATATGTAAAGATATTTGCCTATTGCTCTCTTGTGTGTATTAAGCAGTGTGTAAGCGAGGCGCAACTCTGCGCTGGAGTTTAGACCGGGTTAGTTTTGGTCTAATGAAAAATCTATTATAGTTTCTCAAAATAGCGACGCGCCAGCAGTGCGCCTCAGAACACCTTCCTTTATAGACCAGAACGCCTATGGGCGCACATATGAGCGCTAATGCATTTGCTATTTAAACAGCGTAGCGCAACGCCTCAAAACCACTCTTGCGCCAAGCTGAAACTACCAAACAAGTATTGCGCCGCGCCTTGCGCCACACTGCGCCGGGTGTATGATAGGGCTCTAGTTGTTTTGAAATGGGCTGAGTTATTACCATTGCTACATTAGCATAAACAAATATTGAAAAATACTTAAACTTTAAAGCGTTAGAGAGGTTGATGCTATTCAATAATCCTGAGTTAACATTAACTTACAATGAGTAGTCGTGTTTTTATTAAGCAATGTTATAAAGGGATAACAGTTAAGTCATGAAAGTCAATGCAGTGCATAAGGTTAACTAAAGTGGCATCATTATTGTAAAGAACTATCCTGTTTACTTGTGTATGGGACATGTTTGCTTCGTCATGCACAAATACTTCAAGGAAAAGCAAGTATGTCCTAGTAGTAATAATAACCAGCCTCGGTAGAAAACAAGATTCCTCTGTGTCCAAGTAGTTCAGTAATACCTTTAGCTCTCTCTAAATAAACTGTGTATTATGAGGAAGCTCAGTTCTGTACAACCACGCGTAAGGAAACATCCCTGTGCTGGGATCCGCCGCGGGCCATTCTGACTCCAGAGATTACAGAGCCAAGATGATGTGCGCTCATTGAGCAGGCACTTTCACAACAGATAAAGAGAGAAGAGCCTTCATCACGCATCCACAGACAATAAATATGAGCGATCGTCTATTATATAACACTGAAAATATAGAGAGGTGCATGGGAGATCTGTAAAAACTGAGAAAAGTGATCATAATCCACACTTAACAGAGCTTCTATATGAGTTTGCTGTTGCTTCTATTTCTGAGAGTACAATAATGCAACTTTTTGAAAACTCTCAGAGTTTGAAAAGATACAACATGTCATTCTGAATACCGCAAAAATTCCAATGATGAGCATTTCAATCACTGAAACATACAACGTTCCAACCATTGTAACATTCCAATGATGAGCGTTCCAACCAGTGGAACATTACAATAATGAGGGTTTCAACCAGTGAAACAGTCCCATGGTGAGCGCTCTAACCAGTGGAACATTCCAATGATGAGCATTCCAACTATTGGAACATTCCAATGATGGGTGTTCCAACCATTGGAACATTTCAATGATAAAAGTTCCAACCAGTGGAACATTCCAATGTTGAGCATTCCAAATATTGGAACACTACAATGATAAGAGTTCCACCATTGGAACATTCCAAATATGAGCGTTCCAACCAGTGGAACATTACAATAATGAGTGTTCCAACCATTGGAACATTTCAATGATAAAAGTTCCAACCAGTGGAACAGACCAATGATGAGCGTTCCAACCATTGGAACATTACAATGATGAGCGTTTTAACCAGTGAAACAGTCCCATGGTGAGCGCTCTAACCAGTGGAACATTCCAATGATGAGCATTCCAACTATTGGAACATTCCAATGATGGGTGTTCCAACCATTGGAACATTTCAATGATAAAAGTTCCAACCAGTGGAACATTCCAATGTTGAGCATTCCAAATATTGGAACACTACAATGATAAGAGTTCCACCATTGGAACATTCCAAATATGAGCGTTCCAACCAGTGGAACATTACAATAATGAGTGTTCCAACCATTGGAACATTTCAATGATAAAAGTTCCAACCAGTGGAACAGACCAATGATGAGCGTTCCAACCAGTGGAACATTCCAATGATGAGCCTTCCAACCAGTGGAACATTCCAAGGATGAGCATTCCAACTATTGGAACATTTCAATGATGTGCATTCCAACCATTGGAACACTACAATGATAAGAGTTCCACTATTGGAACACTCCAATTATGAGCGTACCAACCAGTGGAACATTCCAATAATAAGCGTTCCAACCAGTGGAACGTTCCAATAATAAGCGTTCCAACCAGTGGAACGTTCCAATAATAAGCGTTCCAACCAGTGGAACATTCCAATGTTGAGCATTCCAATCATTGGAACATTTCAATGATGAGCATTTCAATCACTGGAACATTCCAATGATGAGCATTATAATCACTGGAACATACAACATTTCAACCAGTGGACCATTCCAATGACGAGCGTTGTAACCTGTGAAAAATTTCCAGTGATGAGTGTTCCAATGATTGGAACATAGCAATGAGCATTCCAATCAGTGGAACATTCCAATGATGAGCATTACAATCAGCGGAACATTCCAAAGATGAACGTTTCAATCAGTGGAACATTCCAATCATGAGCATCACAATTATTGGAACATTCCAAAGGTGAGTGTTCCAATCAGTGGAACATTCCATTATGTGTGTGTAATATACTTTTAAAACTTTTATATTGGATGTGATTAATTGTGATTGTTTGACATCATTCTCATCCCAAAATATTTAACATTTTTATTTCCAATTATTATTACAGCTGATGAAACAATCACAGAATGATTGACAGAACACTGGCTAGCTATCATAATAGACAGAATGTAACTCGTTAACGATAGTAGTTAAGTTATAATAATGAGTAGTTTACACATTATAAGGGCCACAGGCAAGTTTTGAGTTTATAATCTCTTTACTTGGCAAAAACTGATCATGTTGGGATCTACAGTTCATTGTTGGCCTTTATTGTGTGTATTGTTCAAATGGACTCCTCTTTCGTTATGTTAGTGGCTATTTTTGCCCCATTGACTTGCACACTAACACAAGCAATATTTATTCAGCTGTATAGTCAAATAACAGGGTAAGAATAAAGTTTGCAATGAGTAGCTATTGTCACTTTGGGTGATGCTTTAACAGTCACTAAATGTGAAGAGAGTTTTAAACCCCTTGACACATTCTTGAAACAAGGTCAGCAGGAGTAATAAACCCTGTTACAGCAGATCTGTCCTGGTAAATCCTCTCACACATGACGAGATTAAGACAAACAGAGGCTCTATTATTGCAGGAAAGAGCATTACAGGCTGCTTTACATGAGTCAAAGTTAACAGGTTTAGTCAGAAATGTCCAAGAAAGAAAAAGTCAGTCTATCATTGGTGCATAATGCAAAAATAATAATGCAGAATGAATGTATTTAGGAACTTTCACTCCAAAGTAATGTCTTGTTTACAATATAATCTTATGCTGCATTCCTTTTGTATTGAACAAAAATAGCAATAATAAAAACAATTGTTCAAAAACAGCAACACATTGAATTAGACATGAAATTTAGACTGAAAAAAGTATTTAATAAACTGTTTTGTTTTATTTAAAGATTTAAAAAGTGTTTTAACATTGTATGGTTTTTTGATGCTAAATGAATGCAAAAGCATATTAAATACAGAAGATTAAATAAACATCATAACATAATCATACACCAGACAAAAGTCTTATGGCCTATCCAAGTTTTAGGAAGAACAATTTTGATGTTGCCATCCACTCTGCAGATCTCTTGCATGCCCCCATACTGAATGTAACCCCAAACCATGACTTTTCCTTCACCAAACTTGACTGATTTCTGTGAGAATATTGGCCCCATGCTAGTTCCAGTAGCTCTTCTGCAGTGTTTGTGATAATTGGGATCCTTCTGCCACTTTTTAAAACGATCAACTAGAAGTTGATTCATTATGTGTTGCTCTTTTGTCTTTTGACTTTTGTCAGGTAATGTAAAATATATAGAAATTATTTAGAAACTTTCACTCCATAATTCCTGGTATATTAACAATTTTGAATTAAATGTTAAATTTACACTGAAGTAGTACTTTCTAAACTGTATTTTAGTGTATTCTCTAGTGTATTAACTGTATTTTTAAACTGTATTTAAAACTATATAAATGTCTAGACATTGTATGTTTTTACAGAAATAATGCAAATGCAACTGAAAATAACTATAAATAATATTAAATATATACTAATAAACCATTAACTAAGACTTTTAGCTTAATAAACTACTTATTAGCTGCTTATAAATAGATAGTAAGGTTTAGGTGTTAAGATGTAAAATAAGATCATACTTTGTAAGTGCTAATAATCAGTTAATATATTCCATGTATTTAATAAGCCTGTAGTAAATGCTGTGAATCGTTACTTAAACTAAAGTGTCACAGAAATGAATGCTGTAAATATGTGGAGCTCATGGGAGACAGAAATAACAGATTGTCTTACTTGTAAGTCTTGGTTTTGTCTAGCCAGACTCCGCAGATCAGAGATCCGACCACTCCAGCGACTACGAGCGTCAAGCCAATTCTCCCAGCATTCACCTCTTCACCCTGCGCTTCACACAGACAGCTTTAATACAGGTGCACCTATAAGACCTGGCTCTCAAGCCAGCAACACACTCAATAAACTGAGGGAGATCTCCGCAAAATACACCACTTCAATCATTCGTTTTAGTCATGAAAAAGCAACCCACTGTATGCAAAGAAATAAACACTTGAAATCAAAACTGACCATATTGACTTTGTTAGGTGACAGTGATAGTTTTGTGCTGAACAATTCCTCTGTGCATGTCTTTAAAATATATATAGTTTGCTCTTGTGCTCTTTAAATTAGATCTGGAAATGCACTTCCTGTTTGTTTTTAGTTCCATTCTCTGATTAGCTCAGTCTGAGGTAGTGGGTGTGGCTAACACTCTTAACCACGCCCCTCCAGCTGTCAGTTTTGACAACAAACAGAAATGGTGAGGAGGTCTGTTAGGTTGTAATAGCTCTCCCCAAGCCCTTTTCCCCATCCTTCTGAATGAAACTTGCCTACTTTACTACATCCAATTAGCTTGCAGTAGGAAAAACAAGCCACGCCCACTGTTTCTCTAGAAATTGCGTCACAATATGAAAAATCAATGGTCAAACTTTGGGTTCATGTGGACTTTATGTAATGATTGAAATGGTTTTTCTTGTGAGCAGTATGGTCAACACAGGCTCATTTTAAAAGCGTAGTCCTGCGGACGTTTCTGGATTATGTGTATTATGTAGCCAGAGGTACGTATGGCTGCATTTCATTTTTTAAGCGAACTCTACGGGGCGTCATGACGTCGTTCCTTTTGGCGCATACCAGCTGACCGCTTACCTCCGTGTGCAGGGCTTTCCTGCCGCAAACCAGCTTGTCCAGTTAGCTTGTCGTGTACGTCGGCAGACTTGAGATGCAGAGAGGAGTTGACCACGACGACGACCGGGTTCGAGAGCAGAAATCAGGTAAAACAAAAACAGAATCCATAAAATAAAGTGAACGAGTAAACAACAGGGTGAGAATGTGGTAAAATCCGAAAAGGTGGTAAAAATCAGACAAGAGCTGCGTCCCAAATCGCACACTATACACTATGCACTCATGCACGATGTACTTACACACTCAACAGGATAGTATATGTATGTAGTGTCGTCCCAAATGGCGAACTAATGTTATTTTACTAAGCGGAAATTCGAACCGTTTCCCTGATGACGTTTGACGGTCGCCAAATCAGTGAAATAAACGACCGAATTATTAAATAATACCTGCCGTGAGTATAACCGCATTCACCATCGGGAGGCGCTATAATCACTCTCGTAGGAGAATTTTGCTTTCACCATCCAAAACAAATAAAGTTATCCAACATGTGCGTCCGATAGCTCCGCCCCTTCTGCTACGTAGGCAAACTCGTGGTCGTTGAGTGCGTGAAGTGTCCATCATTACACACTTCATTGTAGCAGCTGAATGAGTGCATCATCTGGGTAATTAAAGTGCACTTATTATTATTAGAGTTTTCAGTGTGAACACACTACTTACACTATTTATACTACAAAATGGCGTAGAATAGTGCACAAGTATGCGATTTGGGATGCAGCTAAGGACTTTTCTTTTTCTGGACGGAACTGGTTGAGTTTAGGGAGGGAGGAGGGTGAGTCAGTCGATTGGTCGGATCCAGTCATTCAGCCAGTCAGACAAATGGCTGGTCGACAGCATGAACAGCACTCACAAAAGAAATTTGAGATACAAAAAAGCCCTCACAGCAGCTTCTCACGGATTCGCGAAAACAAAAACTGCAAAAATACATAGTTCCCGGGACGTATTTCGCAAGCTCCAAAAACGTCCAGAGGACTACGTTTTCAAAATGAGCCTGGGTTGCAAATTGCTTATCACTGCAAATCTCGTCATGTAGTGTGTTTTTAGGACACGGGATTACAATGTAACCAGCTCACTTAATGTTTACGCTCGTAATATTTGTATTGTATGCTAATTAATAACTACCTCATGTGGAACTCTGAATCTGCGTCTCATTTTGGAGTCTGCTGTTGTCCACCAGAGGTTGCATTTCGGTCACAGATGCACACTCTGAGAACCTTCATGACTGAATGAAATACGCTATTTTCCACCAAGGCAACCCGAGGTGGTGAAATATAATTGGCTAAACTGGCAATGGGCGGGTTTAATGACCAAAACAAAGACAGCCGTTCCAATGTAACGCACATGTTCAAAGCAGAATATCTGATTTCAGCATTGTTTTTTAGATGAACACGAATGTTCACTGAGCATGATTCTGAAATATCTGCACACACATTATGGTGTTGTTATGCTTTAGAAGAGTCACACTTACACATACAGCACCTTTATGTAAATAAATCTGATCCTTTTGGAGCTTTCGGTGTAGCTGCCTTTTCATAAATATTTGCCTGCTTTTTATTTGGCTGAGCACCCATGACATCTACTTAAAATATGTCAAAAAGGACATGGTAATATTTTGACTCACGGGGTAATGCTCTATTATCATCCTGTTCAACAAGGTGGACACTGCATAGAAAGAGCCGACATTCAGTCCTGGAAAACAAGAAAGAGGGAAAAAAGGATGACACTTTAGTTTAAAAACACATCATTTATTGCTGATTTATTACCTGCCTATTATTAGGATATGAACTGTTTATCAGCACTTATAAACTATATGATCTCAATTTACATCGAAATACCTAAACCCAACTACTACCTAACTAATAAGCAGCTAATTAGTAGTTTATTGAGCTAAAAGTCTTAGTTGATGGTTCGTTAACAGTTTTAATTGTACTTTAAAATAAAGGGTGAGCGAGAAAAATAACTATGAGGATCATGCACTGTTATCTAAAATAAAAAAATCACATTTGTTTCTTAAAATAACCTTGGTCTGTCCTCTATAGTGATGGTTACTGTATAATAGTGCAGACACAGCATGCTAAAAATCCTAATAATTAGTGATGAGCACCGTAGCTGATGAGGAGGAGGATGAAGGGTTTGTTGCACATCAGTCTTGCGATGGACGCCAGGTATGAGTGCTGTCCCGTAGGCATGTTTCTGAGAGCGACCTGAGCCAGAGATGGAGGTGTTTCGGGTTTCTCCTGAAACACTGAGACACACGGTCATTCAAACACGGGCAAATACAGATCCAAATATTTATTAATTCCCACACATGAACCAACATTAATGAGTTTACTACTATTGTAAGAACTCAAAGAGATCATGAGGGATCATTTGTGCTTCATTCAACACAGGCACATTATGGATATGTACCCCTATATACATTTCTGGAGAGCGCCGAATACATCCCAGGAGATACTTATTTTTGTTGTTTTTGTTTTCTGTGATTCCACCAGAGGCCGCTGTGTATGCTCAGATCTCAAATTTCTCTCGGTTTGAAGTTAGAAGGATTTGCTCTTGTGTGTTTTTCTTTTTCACATTTAGGAATTGTTCACAGTATTTCCTCTAATATTTGTTCTTCTGGAGAAAGTCTTATTTGTTTTATTTTGGCTAGAATAAAAGGAGTTTTAAAGCCATTTTAAGGTAAATATTATTCGTACCTTCAGCAATATTAGTGTTGGATTGTCTCCAGAACAAACCACTGTTATACAATGACTTGCCTAATTACCCTAACTTTACCCTAATTACCCTAGTGAAGCCTTTACATGTCACTTTAAGCTGAATACTAGTGTCTTGAAGAATATCTAGTCTAATATTATGTGCTGTCATCATGACAAAGAGAAAATAAATCAGTGATTAGAGATGAGTTATTAAAATTATTATGATTAGAAATGTGCTGAAGAAAAATCTCTCCGTTAAACAGAAATTGGGGAAAAATATACAAGGGGGCTAATAATTCTAACTTCAGCTGTACGTAATAATAACGTTAGTCACATTCATGGGCGTAAATCCCGGGGGGGACGGGGGGACATGTCCCCTCCCATCCAAGGGTTGCCAACCCACCCCCCCCCCCCCCCCCCACCCCCCAAAAAAAACATTTTAATTATTAAAAATTAAATCTCTCAATTTTGAAAACTATATGTACATATACCTAAAATAATTGTCTAAGTAGAAAGAAACCCGCTTTTATCATTTTAAATGCATTTAGAAACAGTTGAGTTCCCCCTCCCCTTCCTTAGATTGGTTCGGTGCACTCTGTGCTTACTCATCTCACCTACTCAGACACTGTGGCTGCGGCTGAGTTACTGTTGATTTCAAGTAAGTAAGTAAGGAGGGGGTTTTTAACCCACCTTAAAGCGATTCTCCTCAATGTAGTTAACACAGACTCTTTCATAAATTAGTTGCGGCAAAAAAATGCTGATTAAGGATGTAATTGTCCATGAATCTGCTGATTAAAATTACTTATCTAGTTAGCGTTAGCTTGTTGCTAACGCTAATGCCGTTTCCCATGCATTGCTTCATTTGTGACGACTTGGCATAATGTTAACTTAACGTTAACGATTACAATTTGCATATTATTAGTTGCGTATTTGCCAAATGAGCACTGCTACACTGTGCACACTAACCCCACTGTATATTTCTTCAGGAGTCTTGATTGTAAACAACACAACAAACAATGCAATAAATAGTTTTACAGAAAAATTTGCTGTCATTGAACCTGAGAAAAACTTTGAGAATAATAATAATGATGAAGTCTCCATGCTATACTAATAATTATAATGAAACCATTTTTAACTGCGGGAACATATCTTTATTAGTAAAATTCAGCTGTATTATTTGTGTCCCCTTCACAAAAATGCTCGAAAGAATTTTTATATTTATTGTCCCCCCCCTTACTGTTAAATCAGATTTACGCCCATGGTCACATTAGATGTTCATTTATGTTGTTGAAAGTCAACCTTCTTACCAAACACCACCAGCAGAAAGATGAGTGTGGCCACGGCGGCTGTGATGTAGAACATGATGCTGATGTGTTCGGCCAGTTCACCCATGTCCTCCACATTCGGCACGAGAACTGGCGGGACCAAGAAGCCAATAGCAATGCCAAGCTGAGGGGGAAGGACGTAAAGAATTAATTTGATCAGATTTTGAAAACTTATTAAACCTCTTTCGCTATGTTAGTGATGACGTGATAAATGCAAGTAAAGGGGTTCAGTGTAAGTATATGGATGTGAATGTGTTCACTGACAGTCAAGATGATCCGAAGTTCCCGGATGAATCTGTTATTTAGAGATTGAAATCTGTGAATATTTTGATCCTTGCCTTGCTTTGTTTTGTTTGTTTATTTACGTTGTATGCTGCCTGCCTTTTGACCATACGCTTGTTTATCGACTCTGGATTGCCCGTATACATCTGTTTGTTCCTGTATTGACCATTGCTTGCCTGACTATCCCATAATAAATCCTGCGTTTGGATCCACACTTCCTTGTCAGCGTCCCCAATCACTTTACAGTCTTAAAGCCTTTTTCGATGGGTTATTTTCACGATTTATGATGGCATAGCAGTCAAAATAGGACAACTGAATGGGACAAATTCTGGACCTTTGTCAGTGAGGGGTGAGTTATTCATACCACCCGAACCCCCCCTCCCCCCAGCTACAGGCCTGTATATTAATAACACTAGCCATATCAATAACCACTGAGCAGATTTTTTAAATAATAATTATAATAATTCCTTACATTTATATAGCTCTTTTTTGGGCAGTCAAAGCGCTTTACACAACCCAAGCTCATTCTTAAAACGTAGCCCTGCAGAAGTTTCTGGAGACCGCGATTTACGTGGCCAGAGGTACGCATGGCTGCATTTCGTTTTTTCAAGGGAACGCTAAGGGGCATGTGACCCTGCTCCTTTTTACGCTTGTCGGCTGACGCCTCACCTCGGTGTGGAGGGCTTTCCCGCCGCAACCAGTTTGTCCGGTTAGCTCAACGACCGGGTTCGAGTCCGGGGAAGAGCGGTTCCAGAAATCAGGTAAGACAAAAAAACAGAATGCAAAAAATAAAGCGAACTAGTTCATGATGGGGCGAGAATGCGGTGAAATCTGAAAACGCGGTCAAAATTGGACGAGGGTTTTTCTTTTTCTGGACGCTGGCCACCCAGTCAATCGTTCAGTCAGTCAGACAGACGGTTGCTCGACAGCGCCTCCGACGGCTTTACACAATAGCAGCGTGGGTTCGAACGGCGCTTGCGAGAGGCGTTCGAGATGCAAAAAGGCCTCTAGCTGATTTGCGAAAACAAAAACTGCACATATACGTACCTCCCGGGACGTATTTCGCAGTCTACAGAAACGTCCACAGGGCTACTCTTCCAGAATGAGCCTGGGTTGGCTTTACACATGGGGGGGGGGGTCCTCATCCACCACCAGTGTGCAGCATCCACCTGGATGACGAGACAGCAGTCATATTGCGCCAGACCACACACCACACACCAGCTGATTGGTGGAGAGAAGACAAAGTGATGAAGCCAATTATGATATGGGGAGGGTTAGGAGGACATGATGGACAGAGGCCAGTGGGCAGATTTGGCCAGGTAGCCGGGGTTAAACCCCTACTGGGATTTTTAACGACCACAGAGAGTCGGGACTCCGGTTTAACGTCTCATCCGAAAGACGGCGCTCACTGAGCAGTAAAGTGTCCCCGTCACTATACTGGGGCATTAGGTCCCACACAGGCCACAGGATGAGCGCCCCCTGCTGGTCTCATTAACACCACTTCCCGCAGCAACCTAGCTTTCCCATGTGGTCTCCCATCCAGGCACTAACCGAGCGCAGCCCTGCTTAGCTTCAGTGGATGACCATGTGAGAGTTGCAGAGAGCTAGCTGACAACAGTTTTAACCAATTCACTAAAACACACACTCTGTAATTAAAATAAAAACACATATTTAAACTTGCAGAACACAGCGAGACAGGATTAATTTAACAGTTTAAATGCAACCGGCACACACACACACACACACACACACACGTTTGTCTAAAATGCACATTACATCAAAGCTATGTACAGCAAAACCCTTTATAAAAGTGATGTGGAGAAATACAGTGTGCTACAAACCACAGGGTCACGCGGGTCATGTTTCATTTCAGAGCTGGTTATTGAGAAATGCATGTTAGGATTGGATCTAACATTTCAGACCTTCAGTGCGGTAAAACCTCCACCTCTTCATTCACATGCATTAGACTATCAGCATGTCAGTGTTTTTATCTCACTTACTCAAAATCCTGCCCAGTTCATATCAAAATACAGGCATACACACCCTGCGGTCTGCTCTATACTTACACTTCTGTATCTTACTGTCACACTGAGAGTGAGCGTGACACAAATAGTTACTGAATGACAATAAAGGAGAGGAGCTGACAAGAGCGTGAGATGTCAAAGGGAGAATGCTGAGATTATATTTACACTTGATTAAAGTAATTAATAATGTAATTAATGTTACTATGATCATATGTGAAGCTGCTTCGACACAATCTACATTGTAAAAGCGCTATACAAATAAAACTGAATTGAATTGATTATATCAACCTACATCAACCATGGGCGACATGGTGGCTGTATATTACTCTACAAAAACCTGCAGCACATTTTCTGTTATGTTACAGACTTATTTCTCTACATATTACACATTATATTATTACAAAAAATGTCAGTAAAAGTCACTTTGTTAAACTGTAGAGATGAATTTTCAACATCAAAGGAGGACAGAGCAGAGATCAACATCCCATAATGCAATTCACAACCGTAAACAAACACTTGTAAATCACACAGATGTTCACTCAACAGTTATATAAGTTATATAAACAAGACAATGCGACAAAAAAGCATGTTTACGCTACTACAATTGTTCATCCAGCAATCAGCCTAGGATGGTTGGCTGGTTTTAGCTGGTTGACTGGTTTCAGAGGGGTTTTGGCCATTTCCAGGCTGGTTTCCAGCCATTTCCAGCCTGGTCTTAGCTGGTCAGGCTGGAAAATGACCAGCTAAATCCAGCTAAAACCAGCTTGACCAGTCTGGTTTAAGCTGGTCATAGCTGGTTTGGGCTGGGCTCCAAGCCTGGCTAGGCTGGTCAAGCTAGTGTTAGCTGGTGATCTCCCAGCCTGACCAGCTAAGACCAGGCTGGAAATGGCCAAAACCCCTCTAAAACCAGCCTGGTCGACCAGCTTAAACCAGCCAACCAACCTAGGCTGTTTTTTAGTAGGGATTTTTAAGGGAATTATGGAACACAGATGATTAATCCAAGTACTTTGCTGTATTTTGGCTAAAAACACTGTTAGTTACTTATAAGTAGTTTAGTGTGAGTCTCCACTTGGTGCTCGTGCGTCGTGCGCTTTTACGCACCTGGTTTCCGAACACGCCGATGGCGCAGGCGGTGGACACCTCATCGGACCCGAACCACACGGACGCCACCTGAGACGGCATGCCCAGGATGAAGACCTGCGCGCAGGAGCAGGCGAACTGCCCAAGCATAGTGACCCAGAACAGGCTGGGTTGAACGCTGGCCACTTTGATCCAAGTGCCCGCGCAGTTGATGGAGGCGGCGAGCAGCGCGACCACCCGCAGCCCCTTACGCTCCAGCAGCCAGGTCACCGGGAAGATGAATGGGATGTAAGTCAGCATGTAGACCATCGACAGCCAGTCAACGGCGAACGAGGACACCTGGTAGAACTTCATGAAGATGTTATTGATGATGCCGTACTGGATCCACTGGAACGCGTTGCACAGCGAGTACGAGCTGAAGAGCAGCAGAATGACCCATCTTCTCCGGTACAACCGGGTGCTGGAAACACTGGAGACTTCCAAGTTTCCTTCAGGCTGAACATCGATGTGATTATCAGCTTTGTCGCACATTTTGTGATGGTAATCCTGCTCTATACTTGGTAAGATCGCGCGCTTTTGTTATTAGGCAGCATTAAGGAAGTATTCCAAATTTAAGTTCCCTAAACATAAGGATAGACTTTGTTACCAGCACTAATAAAAGTTACTCAGTGCAAAGGTGAAGACAGAATAACAACTATTTCTGGCTGATTTCATGCGTGCGCGCGCTGCTCTCCACATCTGATCTGCTCTGCGCGCGCGTCTGAACGGCATGTCAGAGAAACTCCAGCACGTGATCAGCTGTTAATCATTGGTTCCTTCTCGACCGAACACACACTTGCTCAAGAAAACGAGCTCTGATATGAACATTGAACGCTATACTTAAAGGGATAGTTCACACAACAATTTAAATTTGCGCATTCTTCACTTGTACTGTCTGAGTTCCTTCTGTTCAACACAAATGAAGATATACAAGATTTTTTTTGTTTCTACTATAAATGACAATTTTCCATTATTCTTCATTATATCTCGCTTTGTGTTCAACAGAAGAAACTCATCAAAGGAGGAATGTTTCATTTTTGGGTGAACAATCCATTGAAGCCCTCAGCTGGCCACAAACCACGAGGGGTTTAATGACTATGGGGGCATTCAGAAATTCCAGACAGTCCTAATATGCACCCTTTGTGTTTGTATTAATTTATTTTGGCGATGTTCTTATATCACTCAACCTTATTGTCAACATCCTAATGCAATCTCTGGTCCCCTTTATATTAAGTGGCCTTAGTTAACATGTACCATCACTGAAATTAATCGTTTAATACTGATTGTGTAAATATTTTACGTTGTACTTATGATTGATTAAACACCTGCATGTTTATACATCTGTAATTAAGTTCAAATTTGCACGGATGTAATAATAATAGTAAAACTCTATTTGTCAGACCCTCATCGTGCAAAATAAGTTAGAAAATATGTAATTATAGGTATTATTTATACTCCAATGCATTTATTTGGGACCCCCAAATAACGTAAAGGGAAAGTTCACCTAAAAAAATAAAATTCTGTCATTATTTACTCATCCTTTACTTGTTTCAAACCTTGATGAGTTTCTTAAGATATTTTGAAGAATGCTGAAAATCTGTTAACCATTAACTTTCATAGTAGGAAAAACAAATACAATGGAAGTCAAAGGTTAGAGGTTTTCAGCTTTCTTCAAAACATCTTCTTTTGTGTGTTTAAGAGAAGTCATTAAAGTTTGAAACCACCTTTGGGTGAGTAAATAGTGAGTAAATGTACATTTTTGGGTGAACTAGCCCTTTAATTCGATATATGATTTGATATATGTGTCATATATTAACATATTTGTAATTGCAATAGTTGAAAAAACATGTAAATGTGCATTTTGCAATATTTTGATTGGATATTTTGGGATATTTTGATTTTGAACATGTTTTAAATATATTGAATCAAAATATGAAGTTGTGTGTCATATGTAATTTTCATACATTTACATACATACACGGTTAACAATTTCCCGTAGAATCTACAGTAACTTACTGTAAAAAAAATCATAGCAAAAATACTGTTACATTAACAGCACCATTTAGCTTACTCTTAATGCATTTACAGAACTGTATGTATATCTTTACTGTAAAATATACTGTAAGTTTAGTTAATATTACAGTAAAATACTGTTTAATTTAATAAAATCGTTAACAGTTCATATATGAAAATATTTGTAATTCCAATAGTTTAATAAAAACAGGTAAATGTCAATTTTTGTAATATTTTAACGTTTTAAATATACGAAATCCAAATACGAACTTGTTTGTCATATGTAATAAGGAAATATTTCCATAAAGACACTGTTAAAAATTTCCCATGGAATCCCTGTAGAACCTACAGTAACTTACTGTAAATCAATTACAGCAAAAATACTCTATTTACTTTTACAGCACCATTTATCGTGCTGTATATGCATCTACAGTATTGTATGTAAATCCTTGCTGTAAAATATACAGTAAGTTTCACAATGCAACTTTAAAATACAGTAACATACCGCATAACTGTCCTACAGTAAAACACAGTTCAAATTACAGTTAAATACTGTGTAATTTACAAAAATCATTAACAGTTTTAAATATCTGAAATCCAAATACAACCTTGTATGTCAAATGTAATTTGCATATATTTCCATATATACAGTTAACAATTTCCTATAGAATCTACAGCAACTTACTGTAAAACAGTCATGGCAAAAATACTGTATTTACAGCACCATTTATCTTACTGTATATGTGTTTACAGTATGTATATCTTTACTGTAAAATATACAGTAAGTTTCACAATGCAACTTTAAAATACAGTAACATACCGCATAACTGTCCTACAGTAAAACACAGTTTATATTACAGTAAAATACAGTGTAATTTACTAAAATCATTAACAGTGTGCATATATGAGCACATTTGTAATTCCAATGGTTGAAAAAGCAGGTAAATGCCCATTTTTGTAATATTTTAACATGTTTTAAATATCTGAAATCCAAATACAAATTTGTAAGTCAAATGTAATTTGCATATATTTCCATATATACAGTTAACAATTTCCCATAGAATCTACAGTAACTTACTGTAAAACAATCATGGCAAAAATACTGTACTTACAGCACCATTTATCTTACTGTATTTGCGTTTACAGTATGTAAAATATACAGTAATTTTCACAAAGCAACTTTAAAATACTGTAACATACCGCATAACTGTCCTACAGTAAAACACAGTTCAAATTACAGTTAAATACTGTGTAATTTACTAAAATTGTTTAAATGTAAGATTTTTACTATATAAAATGATGAAAAACTGAATTTGGTAACACATTTGTCCTAATTTATGGGTTAAGTATTGAACACGTGTGGTGGTTTTCTCTTTTCTTCAATGATCAGCAAAGTCAAATGGTTTTGATTTCAGAAGAGTTCTTTATTGTCGACAACAAAGGAGAACTTTCAGGAGACCCCCAGTAGCATCTCTGTCTGAAAAATTCTGCCTCCCAATTGTCCTGGCCTGTTTAAATACACTTTGACAACAATTATTTTCCTTTGTTCTCCATACATTACACAAGATCCCTCCTAGTTTAACCCCTGACTCCAAATTCCACCTAGGTTAACCCCTGACCTAAATTTCCACCTAGGTTAACCCCTGACCCACACCTGGTGACTATACACCTTATCCATTTCTTGTGATATGGTAATTCTTCTAATGGTATGCAAGTCTACAAGCAGATTATACACATACAATTTGAATATATAGATTAACTTCACATTTTAAAGAATATAAAATCCACTTCACACGTTGTCATGTTTTTTTCCTGGGAATGATATTTCTAAAGGAGCTTCTGACGTGGAACTGAACCAGACTTTGGTAAAAACTCAAACGATACAAACATAAACATAAAACAAAACAAAACCAATCAGAAAAATAGTTGTGTGTAATAACAGTGGAATGCCAGAAGGAGAAAGAGCTGAACTACTGAAACATGTTTAACACTTTATATAAAGTCTTTATTGGTGCTGCAGCTTAAAGACGCCTCTCATGTGGAGAATGAAGTCACGTGCATTGCTCAGGTGTGAGTTTCTCACAGACTTCAACAGAGTGTCAAAATCCTGATGCTTCTGTGGGTCTCGTCTATCAAATCTGAGCTTTATTCTGCATTCTCTATTAGATTCGGGTCAGGTGATTGGCTGGGCCATTCTACAGCTTGATTTTCTTTCTCTGAAAACATCTAAGAGTCTTCTCGGCTGTGGAAATGTCCACGCTTGTTTCATCTTCATCCTCCTGCTAATGTAGATGTTGGACTGAAGCAGCCGATATTCATTTACACTGAGGAAGGGCAGAGGCTTGCTGAAGAACTACTGAGAGATTTCAGCTGCTGTCTGGGCTTTCACTGCCCAACTACACCTCCCTTTCTTCATGTGTTCAACACTTTTTCCCTGCATTACTTCATTTTCTCACACAGAACTTCATTTGTAAACAGATTAGATTTCTTTTCTTTGCATAAATGGATTTCTTTGGTTGTTTCCAACATCTGGGGAAAATGTCAAGCCAACAGCACCTTTATAAAATATGCTTTCTGAGAAAAATGCTGACGTGTTCAATACTTATTTCCCCCGCTGTATATTGTTCTCTTGATGTGTTTCTACTGGCCATAAACATTAAAGCTGAAAAGGTAATGAAACTTTAGAGAGAATGTCTGTGGTACCAAGAAAGACACATGTCAGATCAGTTTAGTGGCATCATCTGTGAAATGACAATAAATGTAGTCAATAAACCCTCAGTATTAAGAGGACGCAAGGACCAGAAGAGACAAGGATGTCTGCAGGACATATCTCTGTTTTAAGCAACAAAAATCTATGAAGCCTCAGGACCGGATGAAATTGACAACAGACATATCACACGGTCACACAAAGATTATTCTGAATCAAGAACTGCACAAAAGCCTCATCGATGCATGTCTCCATATTCATGTTCCTGATCAGCATAATAGAGAATAGGTTTAGTTTAGATATTAGACCAGGGGTTTTCAAACTGGGGTCTGAGGACGCCTGGTGGGCCGCAAGAGAATGCTAGGGGGTCCGCGAAAAACTTGGCGGAAACGAAAAATAATTTTAATGAGATATTTTTTCCAATCCTAAATTTATTAATGACTATAAATTATTAATCTATATATAGTTTTATGATTTATATAAGTGGATACTTAATAGTATTGTTTTTATCCCAAAATCCTTTGCCCTCTTTAAGGCTTTGCATACAATTAACGGCTGTAAGTGCAGTACAGATGATGGAAAGATTTTTAAAGAATCCCGCTCCCGCAAGCAGTTCATGCAAATCTGACTTGGCAAGGGTTAAAGCAAAAAACAGAAAATATAACAAGTCTTACATTGCGCTTGGTTTTACCTGCATGTTAAAGCAGGAAGTCGATATATCTCAGTGTGTTCTTTGTCAATCGATTCTCTTCAATGAATGCATGAAACCATCCAAGCTCAAGCGCCATCTACATCAGAAACATCCCAATGAGGCAGAAAAATCGACAATTTCAAACATCAGGAGCTGTGTTTGGCCTGGCAGGCTAGTATTTTTCAGCAGCAAGCATTAATCCCTGTGAGGTGTTTAAAATTATATATGTGGCATCACTCCACATGGCGCGTACTAAGAAGCCGCACACAGTTGGCGAAGCATTGTTATTATCAGCTACCAAAGACATCGTCAAAGAGTTATTTGGAGAGGAAGCGGCACGAAAGGTAGATTGTGTGCCTTTTTCACACAACACAGTAAGCAGACGCATACGTTCAATGTAAACATTTTGCAGTTTTCCATAAAAACAAGACAGGGGGAAAAAAACTAGAAAAAAAAAGGTTTAACTTTTCATCTACCACTGCCTCATTTAGAAAAGCTATCTTTTTCAGTTAATGTAAATATTTCATTGTTTTTAATGAAATTTAAAAAATTGAGAATAATTTTTGGCTTTAGTGAGTTGCCAACTAATAAAATAAATAGTTTTAAAAACAATACCATTTT